CAATTCTGATAGATGACATTTTACCAAAGTCATTTATTTTTAAAAAGTAACACCTACAATGGAGTTTTTTGGAATTAAAAGAGTAAAAAAATCTATTACCTGCATAAAATCTGAAATCTGAATATTTAGACCTTTTATAATTTAAAAAGGCAAACTTTAACATAACTCCAAATAAAAGCCAAAACAGAATTGGCCAAGCATAAGAACACTGTACACTATATTTTTATAGCGTGTTTCTGTGTACAAGAAGGACTATGAAATTAAATTGTCTTATTTCTAGCAATTTTCTTCCAAAAACAATAGCAGTCACTGCTAAAAGGGTTGCTTGCAAACTTACCAGAAATATTTTTTGGAGAATATTCTTGTCTTCAAAACAAACAGTAGCTGTCAAATTCTTACTGCATAATCTAAAATGTTAATCTATGTACTGTATTTCATTTGTAATAAGTCTTTGTGATAAGGTTAACACTTCAACACACAACACAAATAAGAGAGCACCAAAAAATGAAAATTACTTTGCTTATGTTTCCGTATTAGAATTTTATTTGCTAAAGGGTAAAAACAGATTTGCAAAATTCACAGTTAACTTAAAACAATAGTTTTAAACCTTTTATTCCTAGCCCTTACTGCCTTCAGGAAGGAGAGAACATCTGGTTATTTAAGGAACACAATATGTTCACATTTTCTATGACTTTTGTTTCTAATTGGGTTTTTAAATTTTTTTTTAAAATTTGAACAACTAGTTAGAACAATGTTTTTTAATCACTTCATATTTTTCAGACTGTCCTCCTTCTATCCCTCTACTTCATTTAGTGGATTGTTTTTGGAAATCTGCTCAGTGGTTCTAATATCATAAAGACAAGAAAATGAGAATTAGGATCATGGTCTGAAGAACTAAGTATAGAAATCATATTTATGGTGAACAGAGAACATGATGCTACAAACAGATACTTGACATTTAGTCTCTTTACACAGCATACCTTTAAGAAAATTTCAAATAGTTCTAGGTCCACTTATTAATGTGGCAGTTATATTTATTACAGATGCAAATTAAATGTCTGTTACAAATTGAATAATTTTTATGACAAATAGTAGTAAATAGGATTCTACTATTCTTAAAAATATAGTTCTGGTGTGGAAAGGTGGTTGGAAGACCTGGGATCAACCAGTGCCGGCTCTGCAACCGACAAGCTGTATTAAATGAGTCTCGGATTTCACCTTGATCCTTTGTTTGTCTACAGAAGCAGAAGCTGGATTAGATCTCTAGGTTCCTTGCAGTTCTGAAATTCTGACGGTCACAGTGAGGTATATTAATTAGATTCTTTGTTATGTCTCTTTCGTTCCATAATATTTGAAGGTGTTAACAGTTTTTCAAACAATTCTGACACACAGCAAATGAAGGAACTAGATACTCTATAAGTTTAAGATGCAGGGTCATTCACCATCTTGATAAAAATGGCAACTGACAAATATATAGTTGGTAAAGGCCTCCATGGGATGTGGGTATGGGTTTCAGATATACACTAGGTGAATGAGATCCACCCAGATTAGAGTCAGTATGGTGTACTGGAAGAGGCTTAGCAACCACATCCAAATTCAATTTATTTTCTTAATATCAACTCCTGTAGAACACAAAGTTAAATGCTAAAAAATGAGTAGGATCATATGGAATAATGGATGCAATAATAAGCAAATAACTAAAATATAAGATCCTTATGAGGACTCAAAGTTGAAAACATGTCCTGTCTGAGCCTACGAATGGCTTCCTGAAAGAGGTAGAACGTAGGCTGGGAATCTCAGGAGGGGATGGATACATACAAGGGTTATGGGGTCTTTCTTGCTAGCTTGGAATCTTAACAAGTCTTCGGCCTCAGGAAAGCCACATAACCTTAACCTGCCTGCACTGAAAAAGAATGAAGAAAGATAACCTGGTTTTGTCTACCTCATAGCTTGTTGTAAGGACATCAAAGTGCTTAGAAACTATGAAGGACAATGATTCTGTTATTACAGTGTACAGCCCCATTATTTCAGTCTGTTCAAATGAGAAACCTTTTCACAGTAAAGCCTACATCTGATATAGAACAATTAAAGCTCAGTGTCGCATGCTCTAGTTGCAGAGTCTATTCTCTTTTTTCTTTTTTTTTTTAATTTATGATAGTCACACACACACACACACAGAGAGAGAGGCAGAGACATAGGCAGAGGGAGAAGCAGGCTCCATGCACCGGCAGCCCGACATGGGATTCGATCCCGGGTCTCCAGGATCGCGCCCTGAGCCAAAGGCAGGCGCTAAACTGCTGCGCCACCCAGGGATCCCACAGAGTCTATTCTCAACTGAGCAATCGCCACTGGGATTTACGGAAAGTGGTAGGACAAAGTGCTTTTCTGAAGTTGGCAATGAACTCAGAGGGCTCAGAGTTCCTTGTTTATTTTTATTTTATTAATAAAATGGGTCTGCCAGCAACCACAAACACTACTGTCACAAATAACTGGACTATGAGAATGTACTTTCATGCCTCAAATCTCATCCTTCTACTAGTTCACTTCACAGAGACTGTGTGTTTATATACTTACTCTGATCTACTTGAATTGGGAATGATTTAAGTATTTTAAGTGTTTCATTGTTACTAATAGAAATTAAGCACACTGATGTTTGGATTTTTAGAGGATATGGGTGGGGTACTAACATCATCCTTCCCTCTTTTTCTTCCTCTTCTGTGTAAATGGCCTCCTATATGAATTATAATGACATTACTACATTGAAAATTCTGTCCACTTGTGGATTTCTATGCTATATATAAACTCGCTGTGTGTGTGTGTGTGTGTGTGTGTGTGTGTGTTTGTGTTTCTTCCCCATTTGTACCTCTGTAGCACTGGACTGGATTTTACTAGATCACTGTAATTATATCAGTTTTTTGTGGACAAAGGAGCTATGGTTGGGCAGGTCGTTAGAGAAAATTTAATTCAACCCCAAAAGAGAAGACCATGATTTAGCAAGCATGAGTTTCCCCAAATCACAAGGATAGTTGTTAGTAGAGTCAAGATCTGACCCAGTGTCCTGATCCCTAATTCAGTCTCCTTGCTCCTTAACTAACACTATCACCTTGCTGGGATAGTCATGTGAAAGCTCCTTAACACTACAACTTTCTTTATATTTCTATAGATATCATCATTCTATAAACTTGTTCTCAACAGCCTTTTAAACATGATTCCTTCCTCCTCCTGATCAATTTCTTCTGCCTCAGAAATATCAGTTTAAGGTCTTATATTTTGGGTCATTATCTTGATCATTTTTACTTAGTTAGACCCTAAATGTAAAAGTGGGGAATACTTTTCTTTAGATACTAATGCCAATATTTTTCTTCTCTTAATCCTTAGAGAATTTATTTTTTTAATGCTTACAGAATTGGCTTCATTATATTTATATTATGTACACTATCTTATTGAGATAAAAAGTACTCTATTAAAATCTCAGATTCCACTAATAACACTGACTGATTTATTATATAGAATGCTACATCTAGAAGAGTGGATGATTCATAGCAAGATTAACCATATTTAGCCAGGGAAAAATTACCAAGATCGATAGGTTTAGATATTATATTCAGTTCTCCCTTCAGTAAAACCAAAAATAAATCATGTAAGTAGAGAATTCAAATAGTTATTTTCACAGGTTTTTTACCCCACTCTGTATGATTCTAAGAATTCCTAATGCTGAGCTGATAGAGTTTACCTTAAGTTTACAGACCAAAACTCAAATACTTCAGTGACAAGCAACCTCATTCTTTATTCCTTTTGTAGATATTTCATAGTTGTGGTTATTTTTTATAAAAAATATATACATAAAATATGGGTTTTTGATTTTACAATCAGACTCCTAAGCCTTACCAGAAAAAAATATGCTACCTTAGATAACAGAGAAATGATGGATATTTGACACATAATGAAACACTGTAGAGCAGAAATGATATAAAATTGTGTATTTTTGTAGAAAATGGGTATAGGCACAAAGAAATCAAATCTTTTAAATCTATCAAAGAATAAATAGAGGTCATACTCAAATGTTGGAAGTCAACCGCAGAGGGAAAAGCAGAAATCCTTTAGAACTAAAATTTACGTTAAACTTGGAGGCCCAAGTGGCTCAGACAGAGCTTTGGCAACAGAGCCACAGACAGACGGACTCCAAGACAGTTCGACAACTGCCAACACGACTATTGGGAATTCTGCCAAAGAGCCAAAGGCTGGGATTACCACCGAATGCCTGGCATTCTCATACTCGTGTTTGAAGCTCTCTCTCTTATATTTCATCCAATATTTTTGTTTGGCTCAAAAGCATCAAGGATTCACAGATTTTTTTAGATCATTAAATGTTCTTATTTTCAAGAAATATAACATTAGTTGTAAAAGAGCACACTTTTTCTCTGAAGTGTAAAGAAAATTTTGGTGGCTTGCTTTAAGTTCAAATAGAGAAATCAGCATTAAAGTCGTTTGAATCTCTGTTTTATTAGGTTACTCTTCCACAAAATTAGAAAAATACATAATCCAAAAATAAAATGATTTAGTATTTCATTGTGTCATAAACTTTTCCAGAACCAGTGCTTTTTATAGCTCTAATGTCTTGGTCACATGGCCCCTGAGGCTCTACCTGGGTAAGCTGGTCTCTGTGAGAGGTACCAATGATAATGAAATGTGGTTATAAGGAGAGACAGTTGCTGAGCTACTTCCTTGAGTTATGAGGAAAGGAGAAGGCAGAACAACCCTCTGAGGGACAAGAGATGTGTGTTCCAGGTTCTCACGGTCCATGTACACTTACTTAATTTACCTGCTCAGCTGTTAGCCAGTGAAGTATGTGAATTTTGCCTACAACTTCAGGCAAATTCTGTCAGTAAGCAATTCATCTGTCATTACACAAATTCCCCACTATGAATTCTTGGAGTCATGCTGAGAAACCATTCTTTCACTCAACTTAAAATTGTGCATACTCTATTTGGAAAGCTTACCTTTGGATCTCGAAGGAACAGAGCCTTAAGAATTAGTGAGTGTACGTCCCCAATTAGTGGGTAATGCATCAGAAGGCCAAGACAGGTCTGGTAGTTACTAGAGATCACTAAATAAGAGGAAAAAGAAGAATTCAGAAGCAATACTGTTTAAGATGTTTGCATTACTCAAGACTAAAAAATAACAACTTAGATTTAAAGAAAGCAAACCAATAACTCAATTAATTTGATAAAAGGAAATAGGGAGAAGGAATCTTTACCAAATGGCCTTTGAAGCAGCATACTGTACTGTTAACTGCAATCTAATATCTAGCACTTATCCTCAGGAGGTGTTGGAAGAAGAGCCTCAGATATAGAGATGTGTATGTTTGCAATATAAATAAACTCTTAGAAGCATGCATATTTATTGCCATTTATATATCTGTGTTTAAATGTCTCTAGTTTTGCTTAGAAATTAGTAACAAAAATCTTATGAATGGGAAAAAACAGTTTAAAATTCTAATAATATTTACCCTAATTATTATGCTTCAAAAGTTACGTTACATTTATTCTTTTATATGTAAATATTACATAATTCAAAGTTTAAAAAATATAATTTCTTCCAATATTTTTTTCTAAAGGAAGTGAGAAATTTAGGGGGAGGATCTATGCAGTATTTCTTGGGAGGAAAAATGTCAGAATCTTCATAGATAAGCCTAACTGTGTTCCTTAGACTGTCATTTAATTTTTTCCCCAAATCAACCTAATTATGGGCGCAATTATTAAACACATCTTTTCAGGCAGGTCTATGTAAACTACTTCATTTCTTGGCAATCCATCTGCCACTGCTGTCACAGTCAGGCCCATTAACGACAATCGGTTTGTAAGCCACAATGACTGCTTCCACAGCATTGACTGTGAAGAAACTTTACAGTTACAACTTCCTGTTGTTGCAACTGAATCCTTTTCATTAATCTGAACAAGCAGTTGAAAAATATTCCATAGGAAAACAATTGTGATTCTACAGAAACAACACAAATCACAAAATAAATAATTGCTTGTGATCAGAAATATCCTCGATTCCTAGATTTTTCTTCTTCTTTTGTTGGAAGCACCATTTTTTGCAACAGCTTCCCGCCCCCTCCCCCTTCCCATGAACATTATGGGGAAAGGAGACAGGACTGGGCAAAATGAATAATTATAATCTATGTAAGGAGCCACTTTATCATCTTCATTTCCGTTGCTGATCTGACAGCTTGTAATTTCATACATCTGCTTTCATTTGTAAAGCACTCACTTATCCTACCCTTTCTATATCTGTTCAGCGTCTTCTCTTCTCATTCGTTCATTTTGTCATATCGCATTCAGTTACCTGTTGGCCTTTTTTCTCTAGAATTCAAAAAGCTAGTAAACTGAGAACTCTATAATGTTTCCATGTGTGGTTTTCTTTGAGCTCTAACAAATAAATAGAACGTAGATAATCAATTCATCTTATAACTCATACTTTCCCAAATACTATAAATATAATTATATACTAGTAACTGACCCAGGAAGAATTCTTGTGTATTTTGCAAAAGAAGCAAATGGTTCTGGATTTGGGATTCAAAGATGTGGGCTTGAATCCTGGGACACCATATGAACCTTTTCTAAGGTTGCCATAAGATTAAAGGACATAATCTGTTTCGCTGATTGACATCAGCTGCTCAAAACCTGTTGTGAGTAACCTCTCCGAGCATCAGTTCAGTCATGTGGAAACAATTTCCTGATTAAAAAATATATATATATCCCCCTACTTTATTCAATCTAATAGCTATTTGTTGAGTACCTAATCCACGGCAGGGTCTATGTTAGGAGGGGATGCAGAGATAAACAAAACATTCCTTAGTCTAAAGAAAATTAAAGAGCTGAAGGGCAGATGTATAACAACAAGCAGTTTTTGCTACTACTACCACTAAAATGGCAATAAATTACTAAAGGCTTTCTTTCTGAGACTAGGCCCTATGCCAAGAACTTTCCCTACATTATCTCATTTAATTTCTATGACAATCTTATTATAAGGTTATAATTATTATCCCTGTTTTACAGATGAGAAAACACTTAGGTTAAGTCATTTGCCCAAATCACTGTGTGGCTCAGACAAGGTCTGAGCTTTAATATGTGGCTTTGTTTGAAAAGGCAATTGTTTTAAAAATGAGATGACATAATAAATGCAGAGTCACTGCAAACAGAAGAGTCAATTTATATTATTACTCTCAAGCAGTAGTTTTTAAGGAGCTTGGAAGGTCAGCATAACCCAGTCTCTAGAATAGCCTGATATAGATAGGTATTTGTTATTTGTTGGGACGAGGGCAACAATCCTATTCTTACAACTTGATAGAACTTTTGAGGCTGAAGTAAGGTATAAAATATGTAAGGGAAGACAACAGATGCATTAATATTCTACTTACAGAATGAATGAAGGTGCTAACAGTCTTTCTCTCCTGTCTCCCTTTCATCCATCCAGTCACTGAATGTTAATGAATATTTCCTGAGCATCTACTATATCCTGAACACACAGAGACTGTGCTAGAGATAAAATGACAAAAGAATCTAAGCTCTGAAGGGTAGCAGACCACGCCATCTGAAATACTGCTGTAGGGTGCTTGCTTCTGCAGCACATATACTAAAATTGGAATGATACAGAGAAGATAGGCATGGCTCCAGAGCAAGGATGACTCGCAAATTCATGAAGCAAAACACTGCTGCAGGAGTTTAGGACATGCTACCCTGCAACATACCACTTTGGTATACTGATTATTTTGAGCTGTAGGCACTTGAAAAACAACAAATGCACAGTGAGGCTTTCTTTGAACTCCTCTTAACTGTCTAAAGATACATTCCCCAAGGGATGCCTGGGTGGCTCAGCAGTTGGGCCTCTGCCTTCAGTTCAGGACGTGATCCCTGGGATCCAGGATAGAGTCCCACATCGGGTTCCGTGCACGGAGCCTGCTTCTCCCTCTGCCTATGTCTCTGCGTCTCTCTCCCTCTCTGTGTGTCTCTCATGAATAAATAAAATCTTAAAAAAAAAAAAAAGATACATCCCCCAAAAGGAAGTCAGTTGCCATAAATTCCCCCAAGACAAACTTTGTCACAAATTCACACCTCTAATCTCTTTTTCTAAAGGCCCATTTGTCTTCCATAAATTAACTTACTTTTCTCTAAGAGGTCTACATCTCCCCTCCACTTTCTTTATTAAGATGGTATTTAATCTTAAATTCTAAAACCATATCTTTGAGAGTTGCTCATTTTCCCCTGAGTATTTACCACATACAAATGAGTATACATTTATATGTGTGTGTCAATATATATTACACAACTGTAATATGTATTTTTATATTAAATATATAATTATATAATAAGATACATATGTTAATAAGCTTCTGCCTTTCTTGTTAATCTGTTTTTTTTTTTTTGTTAAATAATCTCAGCTAAAAACTTAAATAGGTATAAGTAAAGCTTTACTTCCCTATAGCACCCTGTCTTTGGATAATTCTATCTCTAATTTATTAATGAAAACTTGCACCTTGAGAACACTTTTAATCTGCAGTTACATACACTAAGGATCAAGTTCCTTTTGAATAACTGTGCCAAATTTCGAGTAGGCAAGCGAGAATAACACAAGCTATTTTAAAAACAAAATAGTGGGGATCTAAGAGAATAATAATTTAGTTTTGATCTTTATAGCAAATTTTTGTTGAATGTGCCAAATTCACCTGCAGTCCTATTCCCTCTCTAGTGTTTGTCAGGGCAGTGAAAGATTTAAAAACGGCTGACTTTTGGTATCTCCCTATATTTGAAATCAAGTATGTATATGCTTTAAAAACAAAGTACAGCAGCCTGGGTGGCTCAGCAGTTTAGTGCCACCTTTGGCCCAGGGCGTGACCCTGGAGACCCAGGATGGAGTCCCATGTCAGGCTCTCTGCATGGAGCCTGCTTGTGTCTCTGCCTCTCTCTGTGTCCCTCATGAATGAATAAATAAAATCTTTAAAAACAAAAAACAAAGCAAAACAAAACAATAACAACAAAAAACAAAGTACCGAAGTTACACACTCTGAAGAGCTCATTCACAGAAGTATAAGACAAAGGTAAGTGGTAACTAGGAAAACATACTGGATTTGGGATCAGACGATCTAGATTATAATCTAATTTAGATTTAGATCAGATTGCTGGCCAGTCACCTATTCTGTGTGTGGACTTCATTTTTTTCCCATTTATAAAACAATAATAATGCTTACTCTATCTTCAGGGTTTCTGTAAGGGTGGCACAGATACAAGGTAGTATGTTTCCCACATTGCTTAATTCTTGCTGAATGCACTCCCTCCGCATGATGCAAAGTTGACTTCTCTGTCTCTACTTTTAAATGGTACACGACTGTTCTGGAGTTGTTTAAGGGAGCTGGTTTAAATAGTTTCTCCAGTAATGACAAAAAACTAATGAAATCAGTAAAGATAATCAGAGGATGTTATTGTTTTGAGAAAGTTTAGAGCTTAAATAACTTCTGTATAATTCAAAGTTAGCTGCCCCTACAATTTAAACACTTGTAAGTAAAACACTTCGTTCAAATTATTTAATTTTATATTTAGATACACTTACTTTCCCAAGGTAACAAAATGGACTGGGAACAACTACCAAAGAATGTAAAACTAAATGCAGACTGCCTTTAATTTCCTCTAAAATTAAGAAAAGTAGTAGCTATCACTTATTAAGCATCTATAATGTGCAAGGCAAGTTGCCATATATTATACAAATGCCCTGTGAGCCTCCTAATCCCCACTAAGGAAAGTATTATCATCAACTCCACATTTTAGACAAGGAGATGGCCGTGCAGAGAGAATAAACAACACATCTGAAGCCAGTGGGCTCCTAAATGGCAGAGAGGGCTGAACCCAGGTCTGTGAGGCTGAAAGCCTCACTCTTCAGCACTGTACCTTGTACCACCCTTTATTCCTAGGGGAAAATGTCACAACAGGAGTATCTGTGTACAGAAGCCAAATTTAGACACAGTGCAAATGGCTTCTAAACACCAACTATGTGTGAGCCACAGAGAAGCCTCAAAGATATACTGAGAAAAGCCCTCCATATATAAGGCCAGGTAAAGTAAATATTTAGAAATAGGCATAAATTCTTGTAGTTAGTTATTAAGTGGCATATAAAACAAATAATCATGAATAGAAAATTAGAATACTTACCTAACAACAACAAAAAGGAAAACTTAAAGGCTTTAACATAAGTTATGGTACCTCCCCCACTGAAAACAAAGCTGATATGTATGTAAGTGTCCTGCACGGTACCTGGCATGCAGAAGACATTCAATAAATGCTATGTGCTCTGAAAAAATATTTGTTGAGGATCTAAAACATGATGGGAAAAAAACAATACTTATTGCATTCATTGTCTTGAACTATTAAAAAACCCGTACTATTTTAACTTCCCTAGTTATAAAAAATGGCAACATACAAAATAGGGTTTCAAATGGACCAGAAAACCAGGTGGGGGTAGGGAGTAATCATAAATAAAAAGAACAAAGCTTATCTTTTCAGTCTTGGAGAAAGCCAGGGATAAAACCAAGTAATACCTTTCTCCAAACAAAGTGATTTTTGTCTAGTGTTTACAATTCTAAGATTTTGTCCTTCCGGGTTTTCCTCCCTGCTTGACACTGTGACAACTGCCTCTCTGAGCACCATCAATCACAGCAACATCCATTCTCAAAACCTAAGATAAACACACATTCTTCTATAAACAATGAGATGGTCCTTATTTCTCTAGTAGATTTTGTGTATAAATATGAGAGTTTTAAATTAGATTTTTGGGAAAAGGACAATCTCAAATTCAGAGTAGCCCACTCTTTTGTCTAGAAAAAAACTTATAAAAAATTTTTTTTTAAGATTTTAAGTAATCTCTATGCCTAATAAGGGGCTCAAACTCACAACTCCAGAGATCACAAGTCACATGCTCTACTGACTGAGCTTAGCCAGACGCCCCTCAAAAAAATCTTTAAGAAGTGCTCTTAATGCTTTCCAAGCTTAATACACTTTAAGCAGAATTTAATCAGATCAAACAACATAAGAGATCTTCTCAAGAATTTATACCTTTAAACATACGGTGTTGTCAACTGAAAGGTAGTAAGCAAGCAAGCATCCAAGTGGAGAACTAATAGTGGGTAGGGTATGAGCATAGGATGAAAAACACCATACTAGTGAAGTCAGCATGACTGCACACTCACTCCAGAGTGCCAATGGTCTTGGCATTAAGTTTGAAGCAAATCAGGTCCCTGTACAGACTTAAATTTTGTCATCGTCTCCATCTTGTTACCTAGTAAGAGCATAAATGAGATGATACAGTGCAGAAACCTTTAAGTATTTAAATGCAAGTTATTACCATTGTGTAATAATTGTAGGGATATGCCTAGAATCAGGGCCTGAGTTCAATCTCCACATTATAAAATGTTACAGAAACAAAATCTAAAAAATTTAGCATGTATTAAAATTTAGGAAAGAAAATAATAAATCTGATTCATAGTTTTTGCCTCTTATTTTTTTAAATCCAAATGAAAGAAAACCATAGGTCAGGCTTTTAATTAATTACTTGTTTGTCTGAATCTGAATACAGATAGATACATACATACGTTTTACTTCGTTGCTTAGTGATTTTTAATTCCTTGCTTAGAAGTATAGATCTGTCAGTAAAAAGGGTTGAGGTACAGAAGATATTTAAGAAGTGCTGAAAATCTCTCTTGTTAGACTTCATGTATTCAACTCTGTTAACTAGCATTTATTAAATATCTATTTTGTTCCATATACTGATATGACAAGAAAAAAGACACAATCCTAGTTTTCTCTTCATACTGCAGTGGAAGAGGAGCGTAAGACTATAAAACAGGACATAGTTGATAACAGTGGCACATACGAGGGGCTGTGACAACTCCTGGAGTGGAAAGCTGCAAGGTCAGTGAGTATCATCCATCAGGTGGAAGTAAACGGAGGCAGGATACTGAGTAGTTCCTATGGCAGAGAGCTGAGGAGAAATGGAGACATGGAAGCAGGTCCTGCTTATCTACAGGGAGATAGAGTTTAGATTTTATTCTCTATTTGTTATCCCTATTGAAGGACTGTAAGTAATGTGATCAGATTTCTTTTTAGAAAGATTAATGCCAGCATAGGGTGATCAGTGGGAGGGAGGAGGAAGGACAAGATGCACGGAGCCAGCTAAAGTTTCTGGTAATACTACAGAGAGGAGAGGATGAATACTTGAAGTAAGCAAGGAGTAAGTTTGGTTCTAGTGATCTGGGAACAGTAAAGATGGTGAAAGAACACTGGTGGCCTCCATGTTTACTGAAACTGCCCGAGTCCCTAGTCCAGAAATCCTCCATTTTACCACCTCCACGATATATCCTCAAGGTACAGGTTGGATATCTGCTTCTTAAACAGACTTTCAATCAGTTCTTGTTTTTCAGTCTTAACTTCTTCCTTCTTCCTACCAATTCCTAGCGATACCTAGCACTGCCAATTTCTATACTTTTAGGAATTTTATGGGTTATTTCTTGGCTTTCCTCATTATCAATTTTGTATCTAGTTTTCTTGGATCTGCTAAGTCAGTTATCAGTCACCTATCTGCTTTCCTGTTTCCAAAATCTCAGTAATCTCCTTCCTAATTCTCTGTGTCCTGGATGTTTATGCCATTTTAATGGGGTTTCAGGAGCAACAGT